GGGGGGGGGGGGTTATGATGCGTCCATCCGTTAAAACTGATAATGAACGGGTAACGAACTTTTAATTCTAGCACGATGGTAGAATGGTTGTATTGTCCTGAAACGATAGCAAGATTGAGAAAAGGGTTAATGCTTACAAGGGGAGCCAATTTCATCTCAGCTTTGACATGGATAGGCCATTATGTTTTAGTATAAATAATTAATTATGTATTTACCTTTATCGTTAACAAATTGTAGCGGTTTTTGCTGGAGAATGTTACCAGTTCTCCTCCACCGCCGCTGCCCACCCTGACGCGGCCCGAGCCTGCCAGGCCCAGAGCGGACACCTGGTGGATGTGAAGGACGGGCAGCAGCAAACTTTCCTCGCGGACGCGATCGCGGCTGCCACCGGAGCCTCCACCTGGCTCGCCTACAAAACAGCACCGGCGGTGTTTCTCAACAGCAACGGAGCTCCTTTCTCTGGTATGAAGGAACGATATTTCACATTCATCTACATATCTAGAGGGGAGTCGTTTCAATAATGCAATGTTTGAAAGGCTCACTAAATGTTACGTACCCACACCAAAAAGAAGACACATGTAAAACTTTGAAACTGATCTTGGTCCTTACAGCTGGTTGGAGATAAGTTTTAAACAATGTTTTGTTGTGTTTGATTTCAGTTGGTATTTTTTTTTAAATTTTTATATTTATAATAGTACCTATTTACAACCTAAGCATCACGATCGATCAATTTCATTATTGATACTTTTCGGGCACGTTCTTGCCCGGAGACTCCTCTCCAGCCCCCCTGCAGTGGTCTGCAAACAAGCCGGCTGCTCCCTGCGAGCTGTGTGTCCTCCTGGACAGCTCGGACAGCTTCCTGGCCAACATATTACCGTGCACGGAACAGCACAACTACGTCTGTCAGGACGGTAAGACAGTTTCATGTGTGTTTTCTGCACCTAATCATAGTCTAGTAAACTCTAACTACAGAGACCAAGTAGAACAAATGACACACTGGCAGGGACAGAAATGGCACTTCGACAAGGACAAGGACTGAATCGTAAGTAGAAACCCACGACACTTATGGTGCCAATAAGCATCTAAAAGTCAACCAGAATAAGATTTACAAAAATGGCAAAGACGAAATCGTAAGAAAAAGCTGGCTCATGGCTTGAACTGCGCATGCATAACGTCAAAGGTAATAAAGGTCCCTCACTTGCAAACACTTCATGTCGAGACTTTGCTTGATACCATGTCCAGACGTGTTTTGTTAATGTTCCAGGGGCCTGTATCTTGAATGTGTAGTTTCAAACCTTTAAAAAGCTCATTTGAAAAATAACTTTTAAAAATCTCATCCTAATTCCAGTCCAGACGCCATGCGGGCAGAACATCTGTCAGAACGGCGGAATCTGCACCTCCTGCTTCGGAGACTCCGCCGCCTTCTGCGAGTGTCCGGACGGGTTCGACGGCAAGACTTGTGAGATCAGTGAGTACTTTTCCCAGAATGACACAGTCTTAACATTCTGTCACCTTGGAAAAATAAAACGTCAATTAATGTGCAAAAAATGTGCAAAATATAGCTGAGCCGACCTACAGTGACCACTCAAGGATTTGAAGAAAATGACAGTTGGCAGGATTCTTCAGGCTCTGTTGAACGGGAAAATGATGTTAAGTTACTTATTTTGAATAGGGGTGATAATGACCACATGGTCCCTACGCAGATGTGGGTACTGGTACAGGTTTGGTTGCTTTGTAATTGGTTTCATATTCTGCATGTGTAGAAATATGTTTTAGGTACGTTTTCTGAACTTATTATGTTATTACTAGCCCTCTACCACACTGTATATTAAAAAAGACATATGCAACACGTGGCAAAAAAGGCTAGACGTTCTTGTACTTTAATAACTGCCACGATAATCTGATCCCTGAATACCTAAACAGACATTGACGAGTGCGCCTCCGGTCCATGCCAAAATGGCGGGAGTTGCCATGACGACGTTAACTCCTACCACTGCGTCTGCCCAATCGGTTACCAAGGAGACCACTGCGAGTCAGGTATGTGTGACAGGAATATAGGTAAGGCCACATCGACTTAATTTTATGAATGACATCCTCTGAAGACCCCTAAACTAGAGCGCGCGGGCGAATAGAAAAAAAAATAGCCAAAAATAAAAATGCTATGAAACCACAGGAATACAATGCAGGTACCCTGAATTTGCGGCAGTACAGATCGAGGCACATGCTGGCTTTTTGCGGAAATTATGAATCGGCACTCTACGTATGAACTGATTTGCTTGGAACTTCGGTAGCCTGGGTGCCGTCCTCCAGAGTTACCACCGGCTCCGTATTGTTGATAACTACAATGGACTCCCCATGCCTAGAGATAGGACGTGATCTTTTTCTTATTTTTTTGAGAACAGGCGAAAATCAATGCACGCGTGGATGTCATCCATAAAATTTGGTCGCTGTAGACTAACTCCTCATGAATCAACAGTCATCATGACTTCAATTAACTGCAGTACAACTCATGGTCGCTAGTTGGCGTTGTAGTAATTATGCTTACCGTAACGCCACCCTGTGGCTTGAGTAGTACTACAGTCCATTCAGGCAATGAGGACCATGGCCAACTGATGAGGTTATATACGGGGCTAACGTTCGTGTGATCCCTCACATTTTAGCACCTTCTAACAAATGGAAATTTCTTACATATTGTAGACTTAAATAACACATTCCGCCCTAACTTGTCTTGCCTTTTGTCTGTTAAATCTAGACACGGACTGGTGTTCCCAAGTCCAGTGTCCTCTCGGGTTCATCTGTCAGGACTTCACCTTCTACTTCATCTGCGCCCGTGAGTACAGCTTTATTTCGCTCTTTTACTCCATATCATGAGTATGCATGAAATATACTACTTTTCCTCATGTTTCCTCTTGACTTTGATATCTCAGATATCACATCGTGCTGTTGGTTAAATCGCCCTGTAAAAAATTGTATCATTCAATACAGTGATATAAAATCAAGACCTACAGTTCATTTATACTGATTTGTTATTCCATTAATCTTTCACTGGCACTTTAAAGCAAGAATCAAGTATTGTCACAAATGTTTTTCTTTCTCGAAACACGCGAAACAATATTTTAGGACAAGTCAAAAAGTTTGGTGGCCCTAGCGCAAGACGTTCGGATGCTATCCGACATCAAATTTGGCACGGGCACTTTTAGCTCGCCCCCCACGTCTAGAGAGGGTTAATCTTATAGTAATGTATTGATACACTTGAGTACAATGTTCAGTCATTATATTTTAGTTATCACCTCAGAAAGAAACATTGTGAACACTTTGTGCATGTAGACCCATCTTCCGTCGCCCGCGGGATCCCGTACCAGTGCAGCAGCGCCTCCTGTCCGGACGGCATGTACTGCACCCAGGAGAGCGTGGCAGCCTTCTCCTGCAGGCCTGAGGAGTGACGTCATGACCGAACCCTCCCACGTGACGACCAGCAGCCAATGGCTGCCTACCTGCGTGCCTTGAAAGTGTGCTGAGTTTTGTTTTTGGTCTGATCTAGAGTCTAACTAGAGTTCCACGACTTCATACCTTCGCCAAATGATGTTAGCCTTTATGAGCGATTAATTCACAATGATAAAAGATTATTCACAATGATGATGCATATAAGATCATTTGCATGAATTATATCAGTTGATTATAGTATCCACCCAATTATCTTAACAAAGAAGGCCATTCCAGAATTTCCTCATAAATTATGCAAATGAGACCCAAATTTGAATAAGACATGTTTAATTAATAATGTTTATCTTCGTTTAAATTTCAAATGTCCCAAATACCTAGTATGAAACAAGTCCATCCAGCTGTTCTTGAGTTATCTTGTTGACCAACACACAGAATGACAGAATGACTAACGCAACTGAAAATATAACCTTCTTGGCGAAGGTAACTAGAGATAGTGGATATTAGATTCAATAAAATGCAGCAAAAATCATATTCTATAGTTTCTGTCCATTTTTGACTCACTAATTTAATACTGCAGTGTCGATTGTTACATGTCTGAACTTTGTTTGGACTTTGAATCTTGATATGATTTAAAGAAAAACACCTCATATAGTGTGTGCCATTTAGCTATAGACGTTTGCGGAGCTAGGAGACACATTTCTATCTTTTAAAGTGAGCTAACTAGTGTAATAATAGAATGAACCGTCCAACAGTTGACACACGGACGTCAGGAGTCCAAAGTTCAAAGTCCACGCGTATGCAGAACCGTGCTTGGGGCAAATCTACATTCTTGGATACGCAGAGACTATCCAGAACCGTGCTGACCTTGATCAATGTGAGCATAGAACTAAATAGTAAGAGTAAGATGATGATCATGATGACTAGATAGGCACGGTTCTGGATATGATAGATACTATCCAATCCCCTGTACTCGTGTCATATTAGTCGGCCGGTCGGCCGTTCACCCCAAGTAGCACCTCCGTCTCTATAAACATCGCCGTTACCAGGTCTGGTTCGTGCGGAGGATCAGCCGGTATCAATGGAAGAGTTTGGAGAGCTTTAATATACTAAAAGTTAACTATTAACAGTCGTACCCACTTCTATTGCCACGTGTGCTGTATATGTATATTTACAGCATGTACTTTATACGCCATTCACTTAGCTACATGCCAAAGGGACTATCAAGAATCGTACCTGATCCTAAATCTAACCCATTCAGGCACTGGAAAAAAAAAGGGAACTGTTCTGGATACGATACACATGTAGACTATATCAACCATTTGTACTGTGTTATATCAATCGAGGTCGTTGACCCCAAGTAGCGCCTACGTCTTCGTGCAGGGGATCATGGGTTTTCAATGGGAGAGTTTCAATGGAGAGATTAAAACACGCAGCCGCTGACATTGCCACGTGTGCTGTATATGTATATGGTTACAGCATGTACTTTATACGTCGTTCACTTAACTACATACCAAACAGACTATCAAGAATCGTGCCTAATCCTAACCATAACCCATTCAGGCATTGGACTAAAATGCACTGTTATGGATACGATATGCATGTAGGCTATATTCAACCATTTGTACTGTGTTATATCAATCGAGGTCGTTGACCCCAAGTAGCGCCTCTGACTTCGTGCAGGGGATCAAGGGTTTTCTGGAAGAGTTTGGAGAGATTAAAACATGTACCCGCTGCCATTGCCACGTGTGCTGTAAATGTATTTGGTTACAGCCTGTACCTTATACGCAGTTCACTTAACTACATGCCAAAGAGACTATTGAGAATGGTGTCTGATCCTAACCCTAACCTATTCAGGCACTGGAATAGATAGGAACTGTTCTGGATACGATATAGGCTATATTCAACCATTTGTACTCTGTTATGTCAATCGACCGGCAGGGCGTTCACCCCAAGTAGCACCTATCTACGTCTTCGTGCAGGGGATTAAGAGTTTTCAATGGAAAGGTTTGGAGAGATTAAAAATAAAACACGAACCCGCTACTATTGCCATGTGTGGTGTATGTGGTTACGGCATGCAGTATTACGGCAAATACTTATTAACTACAAGGCAATGGCCGATTGTAATTTGGACTCCACCACTGTACAATTGACGCATCTGAAAACATGCGTTTATTAGGACGTTTCTTTGCTCACATAGTGAGATTCCTATTGGTAATAAAGGTAGGGCAGCATTCTCAAATGCAGTGATATGTAACAGTGAATGGCATGAATGTTTGAGGGTGTGTGAGAAGTATAAATGTTGCTGGCATCAACCAGACTGTTGATACTATGGCGTCAGCTCAACACACCCGTCCCCACAACACCGCCCGTTACCCAGTAAGCTTCACGCCAGGATTACTCATGAGTCAGATTAACCGTTAATGCACCAGTTAGGAGAGATTAAAACACGCACAGCTCGCAAAACACGAACCCGCTAATATTGCCAAGTGTGGTGTATGTGGTTACGGCATGAAGTATTACGGCATATACTTATTAACTACAAGGCAATGGCCGATTGTAATTTGGACTCCACCACTGTACAATTGACGCATCTTATAATATGCTTGTATTAGGACGTTTCTTTGCTCACATAGTGACATACCTTTTGGTAATAAAGGTAGGGCGACATTCTCAAATGCAGTGGTATGTAACAGTGAATGGCATGAATGTTTGAGGGCGTGTGAGAAGTATAAATATTGCTGGCATCAACCAGACTGTCGTTGCTATGGCGTCAGCTCAACACACCCGTCCCCACAACACCGCCCGTTCCCAGGTATGCTTCATGCCAGGATTACTGAGTCAGATTAACCGTTAATGCACCAGGTAGGAGTCCAGGATGTGGCGTGGAATTCACGACGTCATACCCAGGCCTGCGCCAATCAGCGCCCTGTATGCTCGTGTCTGATTATTACACCTCCGTCCTGCAGAAGTAGCGGAACAGTCGAGCTCAGCTCTACAGACGGGCAGGATGTGGAAACTGCTGCTGATCGCGGCTGTAGTCGCCTGGCCGGCCTCGGCACAAGGCAGGTGTACAATTTTTGTTAGTAGCTATTTAATTAGGAGGAAGAATAGGGCCGGATACTCGCCCAGGTAGGCACAGTTTAGATATGCAGGCGTGTATATTACTGGGGTCTGTTGTGTCAAAAACCGTGCTTTACCCCAACCATGCTCAGGCACGTACACGTTTGTGGATTGTCAGCGGGTATCCAGAACCAGGCCTGGGGGAAATGTATATTTTTGGATACATGGGGACTATCCAGAACTTTGTCTGATCCTAATCCTAACTCATTCATGTTTAGACGTGCATAGGCGCAGTTCTGGATACGAGAGATGGACGTGGCAGTAGACACGAGATAGTGGATATATGAGTCCTGGCGGTTAAAGATTAATAAAGGGTTAATGCCCCGACCCGAGGTGTATACGGTGAGATAATCCCTGGTCGGGCGCGATAACCACCTCATAAACGAGGTTTATGAAGTGGTTATCGCACCTGGCCAGGGACTGTATCACCATATACACCTAGGATAAGGCGCTCTGTGTGGTTAAGTCAATTTGAAGACCCCCAGCGAAGTGGGCGTTGTCTCCCCTAGCAACACATAGCAACAACCTTTGACCCCTAGTTTTCCAGATTTTGCCCATTGTTCGCTAATTGCCCCCTCCCCACCTAGTGTGAAAACTTCCCGAGAGGGGTGCCGCTGGCCCAGGTGAGATGTTACCTGGCGCCCTGCAGGCGTGTGAAGGGCTGTTTAACAGTACTGTCTGGGAAGGGAAGCAGGATGTGTATTGGATGTGATGTAACAGTGTTCCAGTCGTCAGAAAATGGCAGTCTGAATTTTTTGCTACATCCATACAATATAGCTACATGCAGTTAGTTGCATACAGTTTAGCTTAATGTATCGCCCCCAAAGTTCACTTCCCGCCAATAGCACACTGAGCCTGGTACACTGGGATTTTGACTTAGTTTGATATCGACTTATATATAAATACTACCCCTTACCATGATCACACTGATTGCATGCATGTACTTATGTTCTTCTGTTATAGTATTCATATTTGTTCTTATCAAATGCTCCACAACTAAGTCTGGCCCAAAGGAACAAGTGCATAATTGATTCTAACTGAGCTTTTCAAGAAGTAAACTTCTCTTGTAAAACACTGTAAAAAGGCTATCATGCTGCTAACCAGCTGTCTCTTGCAAAATGGGAAATTTTCCAGTTTTTGAAATACAAAAGAGAGGTTTCCATGCCACATTTATTTATTTGGTCATTTAGTATAGCCTTCCTTGTACAAAATAAGGACATTATACTTGTTGTACAGAATCCAAGGAAAATGCCAAAGTGAAACAATTTACCATTGATTTCCACAAAGTAAAGACTGAATTTCCCATTTTGCAAGTGACTGGCATATGTGATTACTTTGTTTACATTGTTTTCCACGAGTTATATTGTATCTATGATCAAAAACACTAAGGACTGAAATATGAATACTATAGTTCACATGATATAACATTTTCTTGTGTCTTGACCAAACAATTCCTCCAAATTGCTTTATGTGCATGAAGCAATCATATGCCTGCCAAATCAAGGAGGTTCTATGGGGTTCCAACTCCATGACCAAATTTATCTCATTTTGCTTGGATAAACCAAGAAGCTTCAATTTCAAACTGAAGCTCCTTGGCTAAACAGCCTTAGTCTAACTTTTCTGTATTGTGTGTATGTGTGCTGTACTAGGACATCCATCATTTGTTAAATGTCTCTTCAGATACTCCAGTGCTAAAAAGTGTTTATGTTTATTGTTTATCAACCCAAGCCAAGCCAAGCTGTCTGGCATGGCAGGTAAAGGTGTGAAGCAGCCGTGAATTTGCCTATTGTTTTCCTCAGGTAGTCTGGTACCCTGCTGTCAGGGACTGAGTCAACAAACTAATTGGCCATATTGTCCCCATATCCAAACACAGAGATCATATTTCATCCTTGGAGTGACCAAAAGTTGCAATTTTGCCAACTTTTTTTCTTCTCAAAGGCGGAAACATATGCAATGATCTTGTTTCACACCAAAGACATGTCTCAAAAGTAGACAAGTTGAACTTTAATGTTCAAGTGGTCCCAGGGTTGTGCACATTTCCTAGACATTGTAAGGAAGCTATGAATATGTCATGCCAAAAAACAGTTACTCAAGCAACTGGATATGATTTGTGAAATCATATCCAGTTGCTTGAGTAACTGTTTTTTGGCATATCGTATTACCTGGATGTCTAACCTTCATCGACATATGAATATGTCATTTATGCCATTTTTGGTAATATTTTGAACATATTAAAGAATATCTCTGTTATAATGATATTGGTAATTATGGGACCACCTGAATATTATAGAGTGCTCATTGCAGAATACATACATACCAAATTTTTGTCAAATATATGATTTTAGGGCTTCCGCCGGGAGCATAAAAGTGATAAAATTTAGCTGTGATTATCATATTCATATCTTTATATCAGTAAGCTTTAATTGGAGTCTACATAGTTAGAAAGTATCTTATGGACCCTATGCTTCATGTCTTGTTGTAAGTTCTGGAAGAAAAAAACTTAGTTACAATATATTCAGCATGAAAGTTGAGGGACCAGTTAATTAGCTAGTAAGGCTGAAAAGTGACTTAACTACACAGAGCGGGGCGTTAACGTTATTATCATATAGCCTATCCAACTGACACAGTAATTTTTTTATGAACTTTAAATTCTTGCATTGCAAAGCTCTTACATTCTATGTTAAGTGATACAAAAATAATAAAAAAAACAGATCATCCAGGCAATCATCTGCGGTGACCACTTGACATTGGAACAGTACCACTTTAAGTGTGGGTGTCAAATAATAGGTTTAGTCTTTTTCTGTTTAACGTTTTAAAATCTGAATCTCTCTATCTCTCTCTCTTTATATATACCCATTCAGGTTTAAAAGTGAATAAATAAAGTATATACTAGTATTATATGTGTGAGTGTGTGTGTGTGTGTGTGTGTGTGTATGTGTGTGTGTATGTGTGTATGTGTGTGTGTACGTGTGTGTGTATGTGTGTGTGTGTGTGTTTGAGCGTGTGTATGTGTGTGTGATTGTGTGTTTGTGTGTGTATGTGTGTGTATGTGTGTGTGTGTGTGTGTGTGTGTGTGTGTGTGTGTGTGTGTGTGTGTGTATGTGTGTATGTGTGTGTGTGTGTGTGTGTGTATGTGTGTGTGTGTGTGTGTATGTGTGTATATGTGTGTGTGTGTGTGTGTGTATGTGTGTGTGTGCGTGTGTATGTGTGTCTGTGTGTGGTGTTTACATTCCAACTACTTGAAAAAAACTTGACATAAGCTGGTGATAACAAATTTTCTTACTTCTTCAGGCGAACAGGTGTACCTGGCCACACATGACACCTGGGCCTTTTATAAGGTTCGTGTGAACGGATCGATGACTAATACAAACGTGAAATCCACTTGTACTGCTGCGGGGATGAGATATCCGTGCTACATGTCAGGTGCTCCTGGGTGTCCCTCCTACCACTGGACCTCAGACTGCATCACGTATGTCGGTACCGGTAGTCACCCCTGTGAAACCCCCTGGGTCCTCTCCACTAAACTGTGTGGACATGATGACCCCGATCAGTGCCAGCCCCTTGATGACACCTTTGTGTACATCCCTGGCTGGCCGTCTGGTGACAGCGCCTTGGGAGTGGACTACGACACTCACACCTACCACCTGCTGGGAGCGAACTACATCAACATGTACGCCCTGTGTGCAGGTCAGGCTACAGCCTCGATATCGTTACACACAAGGCAGATAAATTCATGCATTTTCGTCTAACTTTCTTGGCAACTATAACATGTACATCTAGTAGCAAATCACATATATTGAAAAGGACTTCTAATACTAGATGTAGAGCAAGGCTCTAAAAGCAAGATATTGTTGATTATCCCTTTAATGCTTTAACCTGAATGTAATGACAATGGCATAAATATAAATTGGACTTGGATTTATGTTTATATGGTTTCTGTACCTATGTTTATGTTCATGTTTATGTTTTGGTGTCATATAAAATCATATGGACAAAAGTCGCAAGACACGTGAATGAAAATTCATTAATTCATTTATATAATGCACATGATATAACAAATGTAAATTTCCGCAGACTTCATGTTGCATTGCCACATCTGTAACATGCCAGGTGAGTAAAGTAAATCTGAATCATCTGAACCTCCCATTCCCAGTCTCTACTACGTGTGCGGCCTCCCCTTGTGTACACGGAACCTGTACTGGTGGTGACCAAGGCTACATCTGTACCTGTGAGAGCGGCTGGACAGGACGCAACTGTGACCAAGGTTAGTATTCAATTGCTTCATTATAAAAAAAGAGAAAATAATACATTTTAGAAGAGATATGTTTCTTGCATAATCCGGTCAGGGGAGGCACAAAACGCTGCTATGTAGTCCAATAAATACAAATTTATGGTGTCGTATATTTTAAGCAGATTTCTGAGTAACTTAGTTATGAAGTACCTAAATCTTTATTGTTGTATTTCTTTTTTTTGTGTGTGTTTATTTTCATATCTGCCAGATATCGACGAGTGCGTGTCCTCCCCATGTGTACACGGAACCTGTACTGACGGCGTGGCGAGTTACACCTGTAGCTGTGAGAACGGCTGGACAGGGAACAACTGTGATCAAGGTTAGTATTTAATTGCCTCATCGTAGCAAGGAAGAAGTATTACATTATACAGAAGACATGTTTGTTGCATAATCCGGTCAGGGGAGACACAAATCCCTGCCAATCAAACGGATACAAAATGACGAAGTTTTACATTTTCAGCAGCTTCTGAGTAACTTTGTGACAAAGGCTTTATTGTTGTATTCAATTATTTTTATTTTACATAACATTCAGTTTTATTTCTACCAGACATCGACGAGTGCTTGTCCTCCCCATGTGTACACGGAACCTGTACTAATGTTGTCGGGAGTTACACCTGTAGCTGTGAGAACGGCTGGACAGGGAACAACTGTGATCAAGGTCAGTACGATTGCTTCACTGGTATGCAATCACCTTGCTCTGTAATTGACATTCAACATAAGATGCTGTATTGCAGCGATTTATCGCATTGTCTTTTCCCCAGACATCGATGAGTGCTTGTCCTCCCCATGTGCACACGGAACCTGTACTGACGGCGTGGCGAGTTACACCTGTAGCTGTGAGAACGGCTGGACAGGGAACAACTGTGATCAAAGTTAGTATTTGATTGTTTCATCAACCCTGGCATTTAAGAGAAGATACTAGTTACTTGATATCAAACTGCCATTGGGGTGGAACAAAAGGGCTAAACGTGTTGTGTATGACTGTGTAATACCTATACTTTTTCCAGACATCGATGAGTGCTTGTCTTCCCCATGTGCACACGGAACCTGTACTGACGGCGTGGCGAGTTACACCTGTAGCTGTGAGAACGGCTGGGAAGGACAGAACTGTGATCAAAGTAAGTACTTGATTCTTTCATAAACTTAACTGTACCATGTTCAGTTTGTTTATTTGTTTATTGTCAATTTGCACATAAAAAAGTAACAGTATAAAATGAAATTATATACAAGCAAATATATGCTGGAGAGCCCAAGAAACCTGAAGGTACTGCCCTATAACTAGTATAAGAAAATATAGGTGTGTATCATGCCATTGACATTGTGCGTTGCATTAGGTACAAAGAACCAGTGGAAGAAAATGGCAATACGTGATGTATAAGACTGTGTAATACTTGACCTTGAATTACCAGTTATCGACGACTGTGCGTCCTCCCCATGTGCACACGGAACCTGTACTGACGGCGTAGCAAGTTACACCTGTAGCTGTGAGAACGGCTGGACAGGGAGCAACTGTGATCAAGGTGGGTGTTTCCTCTTTGAAAACTACACTGGTAAATTGACATCAACAGTTGGACACAATGTTTGTAGCTTGTACTTAAAGTACTGAGACTCCATTAGTTGACTAAGCTTATATAACTACATGTTGTTTAATTACTGCTCTTAATGTGATTTTAAATTTGTTGCATAATGATTTTAGAATTGTACCTGTTTTAAAAATTCAGTCTAAGTCTATATATCCATTGACTGTAAATAAGCATGCAATTCAGCCGTCAGGCTGCAATATGCTTCTCTGAATAAACCAATTTGAGACCAATTTGAGTGAGTATGACTATAATATTGGATGAGTACGAGTTGTTGTTTTATCTTTCAGACATTGACGAGTGCGCGAGCAATCCTTGTCAGCTGGGAGGAACCTGCCTGGATCACGTGAACGGCTACAGCTGCGTCTGTCCGAAAGATGCTACCGGGAAGGACTGTGAAACTGGTAGGGTTTATTGTACGATCAGACTTCTTTTTCACGAAATCCTTCTTTTGTATGGCAATATCTTCTGTTATTTTCATCATTCAACAGCACCTAGTAAGCATCAAATGTGAAATAAGATTGGGCTGAGACTTGTTCAGCCGTTTTGTATCCGTCAGTTGAAAACCTGAGCGAGTAAATGAACTTTTGACTTGAGGAAGTACGTGTGTGTGTATTTGTCTGAAAAGCTATAGGGGTTGAATATGTGACAGATGCTGATACTAACATGTTGGAGTCAATCAATTACCAATAAGCTTAATTAAACATATTGAAAGACAATGAAATTTTATTAAAAAGCATTCAATTGTCTGTTTACTTTTCTCGTTAACAAATTGTAGGATTTTTTGCTGGAGAATGTTACCAATTCTCCACCACCGCCGCTGCCCACCCTGACGCGGCCCGAGCCTGCCAGGCCCAGAGCGGACACCTGGTGGATGTGAAGGACGGGCAGCAGCAAACTTTCCTCGCGGACACGATCGCGGCTGCCACCGGAGCCTCCACCTGGCTCGCGCTCAAAACTGCACCAACCGAACCGGTGTTTTTCTACAGTAACGGAGCTCCCTTTTCTGGTATGAAGGACCCATATGCGAGTTTAAAATTCATCAACTGGGGGATCGCTATTGAAAATGAGTATAATTCTTGAAAGGAATTCCAAATGCTGAAACTGGTCTATATCCTTACAACTGCTTGATATTGGTTTAACCATCTCTAGACTTGGGGGAGGGACTAAAAGTGCCCGCGCCAACTTTGATGTCCGATAGCGTCTGAACGACTTGCGCTAGAACCACCAACACGTTCATGAATATTAGTGTGATGACTTAATAATTTTCCGTGTTGCCATGGCGACTTGACATGCTGAAGATTTGATGAATAGAATAGACAAAAACTAATAAAAAAACAAAGCTTCACTTGAATAATGATAATGGTAAGTTTTTGGCACGTTTCTACCCGGAAGGCTGCATGATACTTACTAATCACCAGGCGCCTGCAGTTTTAAGTAATCTTTTTTCTTTTTTTTTTCATTTTAAGGCACTCTGCAGTGGTCTACAGCCGAACCTGCTGCTGCCTGTGACCTTTGTGTCCTCCTGGACAGCTCGGACAGCTTCCTGGGCAAGACAGCACTGTGCACGGAACAGCACAACTACGTCTGTCAGGACGGTATAGCAATCATGCGTGCTTCTTTCACCTTAATTAGTACCATTCTAGACAGGATAACGCTACGTAGAACAATTAGCAAAAAACGGTACTGTAAGCTACGGTGATTATGGTACTAATGATAATTTAATGCCCACCACAAGGACATTAATGAAAATGTAAACTGTAAGCTGAAAGCCACGATGTTCAACCAGAATAAGGCAGTTCATGGTTTGAACTGCGTACGTGCCAGCTCAAGGTTAAAAGTATAAGCCCCAAACTGGCAAACATTTCTTGCTTAGGTCACGTCCAGATGCCCTTTGTTTATGTCCCTTGGGCCCGTATCTTTGATGTTTCGGTAGTTTTAAACCTTCAAGAAATTTATCAGAAACTGACTGGTGAAAACTTCCCCCTCATTCCAGTCCTGACACTGTGCGGGCAGAACGTCTGTCAGAACGGCGGAATCTGCACCTCGTGCTTCGGAGACTCCGTCGCCTTCTGCCAGTGTCCTGCCGGGTTCGACGGCAAGACTTGTGAGATAAGTAGGTATTTCAAGACGCTTCCCTGTATTTTCAAGGTCATTAGATTATCTCTTCTTTGAAAAATGAAACTATCGGAACAAAATGAACAAATGCAGCCAAGCCACAAATGACCACTAGAGAATTGGAAGATTAATACTAGTACTCGTATAGACAGGGTCATTAATGCTACTACAAATCCACAGTTGACCAATAGCTATCTGCACGAAAAATCATGATCCTAACATGTCAAGAAGACGATAAAAACCGGACGGAAGTTCTGCTGCAGTACCAGGGAAAATTGGTAGGGAATCCAGAATCTAATAATTTCTTTGATAGGTCAAGACCTACCTGCTAAATTTGATGATGATCCATATGTAGCATCTTAAGTAATTGTGCTAAACCACATACAAACACACATACATTCTGCCATACAAACCCTACCAAAATCAAAACATAACCTTCTAGGCAAAGGTAATAACCTAATTGTTTACATGTCAACAGGGGTTGGCGTGTGTGCTTCCAACCCCTGCCAAAATGGCGGGAGTTGTCATGACGACGTCAACTCCTACCACTGCGTCTGCCCAACCGGTTACCAAGGAGACCACTGCGAGTCAGGTACGTGTGGCAGTTACCGACGTTCTGTAACTCCTCAGCAACCGTTCTCTTGACCCATCCCAGCATCACTTTCAGAACACATTTCACACCTTACATTTCAGAGGGCTGATTGACAGCAACAAGCATATAGATTTGTCATGTTGCCTTTGGCAGTTCAGCCAAAGGCAACATGACAAAGGCAACTGCTACAGTTTGATCCGTAAATTTTCTTTTCTTGAATTGCAAAAGGCTCAAGTAGTCCATAAGAGTGTCTGACTTTTACAGCTAAGCTGACAACACATTCTGTTCAAATATTTTTTCATGCCTTCCTGTTGTTTTATCTAGACACGAACTGGTGTTCCGAGGTCCAGTGTCCGAATGGTTTTGTCTGCCAGGACTTCACGTTCTACTTCCTCTGCGCCCGTGAGTACAGTTTTCACTTTAATATCATAGTTATCACAACATGGTGTTTAAATCGTTTTCAACCAGCCCGTACAGTTGACCAGCACGAAATCAAGTCCTAGTTTTTCAATGCCCAAAAGTTAATCTCAAGTATTGCAACATACGCGTTTTTCACATAACATGGTAAATGTGAATTTTTATCTATATGATAAAATATTCATAGATACACAGATTAATGTTATGATAGTGATTTCAACTGACCATCCAGTTTCAATTTTTCTGTCAATTGTTGATACATTTTACTCAACTTGCAATTTCTTGAACATACTGACAAGTACTGTACTCTACTGTACTGTTTGTTAGTTATTATATCTTTGTTTATTGTTTTGAAAACCTGTTTACAAAAATGCCCATGTAAACACTGTGTCCACCTAGGTATAGTACTTAATTATCTTAGCTTACGATGATGATGTCAAGTTTATTACCTTTGCTTAAAACAAAAATCCCTGTACATGTGTGCACCTAGACCCCTCTCCCGTCGCCCGCGGGTTCCCGTACCAGTGTAGCAGCGCCTCCTGTCCAGACGGCATGTACTGCACCCAGGAGGGCGCGGCAGCCTTCTCCTGCAGGCCTGAGGAGTGACGTCATGACCGAACCCTCCCACGTGACGACCAGCAGCCAATGGCTGCCTACATGCGAGCCTTGAAAGTTTTCTGAGTTTTGTTTTTGGTCTGATCTAGAGTCTAACTAGAGTTCCACGATTTCATACCTTCGCCAAATGATATGTTAATCTTTATGACTGATGAATTAAAGATTATTGGCATGATGATACAAATAAGATCATTTGCATGAGTTATCAGTTTATCATATTCTCCAACCAATAACAGTCTATCTTAACAAAGAAGGTCATTGCAGCATTTCCTGAAAAAAATACCCAAATTTGAATAAGACATGTTTAATGATGTTCACCTTCGCTTAACTTTTAATGCCCCAAATACAAA